AGAAGCTGGAAATCCCCCTGATTCCATTTTCAACGTGGAAACTACGGGTGCTGATAACAGCAAATGTGTTACTGGAAAATACCAACAGCAGATTTTCTTTCTGTTGTGGTTTAAGAACAGTAAAATACAGCACAGACTTAACTTTACTTGAGGGCTTAACAGAAATCCTACTGAACAGCAACGGAGACTTAAAAGGGATTTACTCTGACGCTTTTAGGTGTGCTGAGGACTAAGCTCTGCTGCTCACTGAGTTTCCAGGGAGGGGGATACACTGTGGAGCCAACAGCTGTGTTGGAGGCAACTGGCGTGAGAATTCAACCCATTGCATCGGGTGGGACACTTTGAAAATGGCTGGAGGGGTTTGGAAACACAAGTCTGAGATGTCACCTCCTCAGATTTATTTTTAGATGTTGATTTGCTGCCCTAACTCTTAGGGTTTATCTAAGAAGCCAGCCCCATAAGCTTTTCCCAAACTCTACAAGGACTCTGCTTTCATAGCACAGACAAATAAATAGCACTGTCACAGTGACACATAATTGTCTGCTTCTAATACATCAAACTTGACATGTAACAAAGGGTTCTTGTGGCAATTCAAGCTATAACCTTGCTCCTTTTTATTACTTTAAATCTTTCCAACTCAAAACATATTCAAGTATTTAATTTTGGGTTTTTTTAAACTTCCTTAGTTCATTTCTTGAGTCGATCATTAACGCTTCCAACAAACTGCTTATGCTTTTCAGGCAGCACATGAAAGAAGGGGGATAGATATGCAGATAAACACTGTGCAAGCAAAAAATGTCTTCAAGGGATTGGCACGGTCAGAGAATGACCCACATCACCCTGGGCATGTCCCAAATGTCTCTAATCATCCCAAGGACATACTTTTGTCTGTTTATGGCGGCCTTGATGTTGCCACAACCACCCCCCCCCAAAAAACAAACAGTACTCCTTCAAAAAAATGCTCCTTTATGGCTCTGAGCAGAAATGTAAAGGCAAAGAAAAGTGCTGAGGCCAGATTTGAAGAGCCTTAATTGTTTCTGTAGTACAGAAAACACAGGAAGAAAACTCCAGATGAGGAACTGCATTAAAAAAACCCCACCAACTGGGTGATCCCAAACCCCAAACTGGATATTAAAAAAATTGAATCCAGGACACGGGTTTAGCAAGGTAGTGTGCAAGGAGGTCAGCCAAGGAGAGCTGAAAAGCTGAACAGCTGGTCTGTGTCGAGCTGAAACTCACAGATGGAAAGCAGAACTGACCAAAGGACTTTTCTCCTAAAAAAGAGGAGAATTCTAGAGGTAACATTCCAGGTCTCACGAATGCTAGAAAGAAACAAGGAAGAAAGAGGAGGCAGATACTGAGGGTCGAAGAGACTGATATGAGGTATGAGACCCAAACAGGGGCCATCCTGCAAGAGGTAGATGCACAAAGGATGCAGAGGGTGGGATGAAAGAGAGCACTCAGACTGAGAGCAGGACCACTGCATTGAGAATCTACTCAGAAGACAACAGCTGAAAGTCTGAGATCAGAAATCCTGTAATTTCATCTGCAGAAGATAACCATACTGGACTATGTAATTCCAAAGGGCAAAAGTAAAGAGCCACAAAGGAAAGGATGTACAGAGCAATGAAAGAAACTGGAAAAGAAAACAGATGAATAACACAGTTCAGTCTTCCTGGAAGATGTGTCACTGACCTCAGTACAAAGGCAAATTGGCTAAAATGTGACATGCTCACTAAATTCAAGTCAGCCTACATGACCTCATGTTCAACAAGAAACAATAACTGGAATTTGGAGGCAGGGAAAGCCAAATTAAATAAAGCCGTTTAAAAATTACAGTGACTGATATTCCCCATTTAAACAAACTATTAAAGGAAACAGCAAAAATCCCCATCACTTGGCATTTTGATATAAATACTAGAAATCTTTCTGAAAGATTTACTCTAGTCAAAACATGGTATCAAGTTCAATGAAGACACATCACATTTAACAGCTTTACTAAGTGGTCAGACAAAATGATCTAATATTACTTTCTGCCCTTAAAACCAATGACATTTCCCTCCCCTCCTCCCTTTTTTCCTTTTCCAGTTTAAAAAAGGTAGAAAGGTTGGAGTGAACTGAATAAAGGAAGTACTGGCAGTGCTGCCTTCTACTTCAAGCAGAACCACAGGCACTACTGAAGCATTCACTAAAATTAAAGGAGAAAACCCTTTGGTCTGAGGCACGGAGCAAGCTGGGAACAGCCAGACTGCAGCAGTCATGGTCATTTGGACAGCCAGCCTTAATCATTTGAGGTGCAAATTGGCCAAGAAAATAAGACCTTGTCTCAAAAAAAAAAAAAATCCCTATTAAAGGAAAAAGCCTGGAGGCTTGTTAAAAAGGAAGTTGAAGTGTTTTATCCTGAATGGAAAAAGCCTCTAGTTGTTGGTTTGAGAGCAATCTTGTATGACCTTTAAACACTGTTCTCACAGTTTGGATTGTAAAAACAAAGTTATAGTAAAAAAAAAGACCCAAACACAAAACCAAGACCCCAACCCAAGCTGCAGGGACTTCAGGACCAAGTCCCAGTAACTCCCAACTGCAAACCTATCCCAGGACTCCCTGCTGACAGAGACATCTTCCTCATCCTATTTAAGCCTGTCTGCTCATATACAAGATTTCTTTAAACTTTTCTCCTTCCCCCCCAGCATTTGCTATTTACAGTTATTTCCCCAGCTCTGCCTTCACTTCAAGCTGGAAAGGCCAAGTAACTCTGATTTCCTCTCACAGAAGCCCTGCACACCATCAGTCATTTTGAGAGCCCATCTCTGCCGTGACTTCAGCTCGAGCTCAACCTCTTGAAGATGCCTGACCAAAATTACCCAGCAAATGCCCCAGCTCCCATGCAGCATCTCTAATTCATTCTCAGACCTACCAGAGACCATGCCAGACACATCTGCCACCACGCTGCTTCCTCCCACAGCAGCAACCCATTAGTTCTACCATGGAAAAACACTCATGGATCCTTTTTCTGACAAGTTTTTCTTTGACTTGCAACTACTCGACTTTGCATTTGCCCAGCTGGCATCTTTCTGCCCACTCTTCGATACCATCTCGTGTAGGCTCCAGAGCCTCCTGCCATCCCACAGCCTTTCAGCCAGCAGCAGTTTTGGCACACTTGGCCTCCTCCTTGGCCAAGACTCCTAATTCAAATAATGCCAACAAAAGGAAATCGTATTCAAGGCAGGCACTTTGATTAACCTCCTCTCTCACCTTTCAGCACTGCCTCAGATCATCTGTGGCCTCTGCTGCCATCACCTTCACCACTTTCGTGTTTTCCCACTAACTGCACCTTCTTCTGTCTAAACTTTATTTAGAACATCCTTTACCAGAGAGAGGAAATCTAATCACATTTCCACTACCCAGTAAAAGCAGTCATAAAAGACAGAAGGTTACTCCAGCATAGCGGCCTTTGTTTATTGTGGGATGCTTTTTCAATTAGTCATTTACTCCAAGTTTGGGGTTTTTTATTAGATTCCTTTTTTTTTTTTTAATTTAGCTTTTCAGACCATAACCCAAAAGTCAGTACCCATCAGTTTTGTCATTGCCTAGATGGCTTTCCTCTCTGAAGCAGGAAACTGGATTACTTTCCATCAGTCAGACCAACAGATATGTCTCAAATAGCAGCATAAAAATATTAAACATGTTACCGCCGCAGTGGCAATGCCCTGTCAGACCTGTAAGCACAGGACTTTGAGCTCAAATCCTGAAAATGCTTGTGCCAATGGCTCAAAAGCTCTGGAACTGAGCCCAAGAAAGGCATACAATAAGTACCAGTGCCTTCATTTCTAGTTTATCAGTGTATCGATCCACTAGAAACAAAGCTGACTTACATAAGCCGTGTCCAAACTGACTGATGCAAGGGAAAAACAAACCCTCTTGGTTTTCCTTGGGAGATTTGCTTGCAAATGTGACTGCCAGCGATTCCTTGCAGCCAGATGTTAAAGGTTTGTTTTACATATGTTAAAGAAGCAACTTCAGCCTGACAAAGCTAACCCTAACCCTAAAATATGAATTGCCATTGAAATATGAAATCCCACTTCAACAGCAGGGGACTGCATTTGGTTTTTTGCAACAAAGCTCTCAGAAGTGTCTTTGCTGGAAAAGCTTGCAGTGTTAGGGCTGTTTTCTGTTTTGTTTCATGGAGGGAATAGAAATGGCTTTACCATCAAGTAAGCTGCAATGGATGACATTTTTAGCTCTAAATGTTCAAGGCAAAAACCTGCCACTCTTCCACGGAGACAAAATTTCACTTCCTATAGTGCTCCTTGGGTACAGACCCTCAAATTTTAGTCTTTCTTAATTCACAGCCTGCTACCAGTTCCCTAAGAGAGGTGGAGGCTGCTCGGTAGACTTGCAGGAATGGGGGAGAGTAGCTTTTCACAGAACCCATAAAACCAGCTCACCAACCTTATGTGCACCGTTATTAGTTCAGATTTATAGTGAACAAACAGACAAGACATCACCGAGGAGGTTCATGTCCAGGTTCATTTTTACCCACCATGGATTTCCTTCCTGCAGCAGCTAAACTGTTCTGTCTTGCTTTTCTAAACTGTGCAGGGATGAAGGACATCTTATCCAGGAGCACAGGAAAGGCCAAAACAGCATCCAGTTGAAATCCAACCTGCCTTGAACACATTCTGCCTGTGCTCAGGGAAACAAACTCCTGCAATACAGCAAATACAATTACATCCTGCTGCACACTTCCATCATCACAAAAGCAAATAAAACAATGGACACTTCTCATGTTGGACTTCGGCAAAAGACATTTATTATTATTATTATTATTGTTGTTGTGTTGCTGTTGTACCTCCCTCTGCTCTGCCCACAGTGGTGGCATAAATGCTGTTACCATATTGTAGCTGATGATGCCGGTGTACAAATCAAAATCCATCTTAATTTCAAACTCCATTAGAAACACAGGAAAAAGGATCAACATTTACGAAATGTAAAGGGAAAAATGGTATGGAAAGAATTCTTTTTTTTTTTTATTTTTCAAGCTTCCAAGACAGTATTACAAACAACAGAGAGCAAAGTAAAGCTAGAAATGAAATACTTGACAGCATCTGTTTAAAAATTACAGCTAAGAAACCTAATAAAAGTTGAATAAACAGTTACTAGAAATAAAAATTTTTACACATATGATAGTTGTCTGGGATTTTTATTTCTTCAAAATAATTCATACAAATGGTTACAGTCACAAACATGATTTTAACCAAAAATATTGCTAGCCTACCACATTACCAGGAAGGAATCAATGTAGGCAATGAAATGCTGCTACTTTTCAGTAGTCTAGTGCCTTTTCCAGATACCACCAATAATATATACTTTAACTGGTGACAAAAAGCACAACGCTCGTTTATACAAAACCTTTTTTTTTCCTCAAAATCTCTTTGCAAGGTTGTCTTCATTTTGAAATAAGGGAATTCATGCCAAAATTAGGAGAAACTGTTTTTTCTTTTGTTTACTAAATTATTCTAAAAAATAAGACAAGCAGGTAGAAAAAACAATGCACTGTGTGGCGTAGAAAGAAAAATGGGAAAAATTCATTGTCCTGAGAAGTTTGCCAACTGCCTCATTTTTGGGCATGTCTTAAAATATAAAAGAAAGGATTTTTAATCTCAAAATTGGTTTGTTGAATGCCTCCCTTATGTTTTTCCTTGTTGACAGCTAAGCAAACAAACCCTTTTTAATGTTCTAAAAACTGTACACAGACAAGTACATTCATGATATAATTAACTACTAACTTCTCTTGCTTAACAAAGAACCCATAGGACACAGAAACAGTGAATCAGTCCACTGGACAGGGACAAACTACAATTTATACGGAGGAAAAAAATGTTTCCAAATCTTCTTTTTTTGTCTCCCACCTTTTCCTTTTATACTGTATATTGGACCAGTTTCTAAAACAATAATTGTCTCCTCCTGTAAGTTCATGGTTTTTGCCTTTAATCAAAATCCAGGGTTTTGTCTTGTTGTTTTGTTTTTCCACACGCTGAAGTTGAGCTCTCCGATGCTGGGAATGCTGTTCTCGTAGGCTACAATTGGTCGCTTGGGTGGTCTCTATCGGCTTCTGGTTTGACAGTTTGGCCAGGGGAAGGAGCATGGGGCGGGTGGGCTACAGCAGGGAGGCCGTGTGATAAAGACATGGGGTTGGGGACTATTCCTTCTACTGCTGCAGGTATGCCAGTGGAAGCCACGCTTACAACGCCCGGGGGATACCTGCTGGGAGGAGAAAACAGGAGCACACATTAAAACCATGAGGTGACCCACCCGAAAGCCCACCCTTGCCTCCTCCTACAGCTACAGAGACGCTTCTTTTGTTTTCAGAGCAGCTACAAAGACAGGGAGTTAAGCTCCAGATGAGATGCCATATGCAGATGCTGATAAACAAAGTAGGAGATGCTGTGTTTTACCTGAATGAGAAATAAAGGTTTGCTAGATTGTTTCTTCAGATTTAACAGTGGGAGTGACAGCACAGCAAAGGAAAAAAACTGGAAGTATTGCTCTTCTCAAAGCATAACCTCAACCAGAATTAATTCTGGTTGGGTCTGTGCAATATCTGTTCTCTATGACTTTTCTTGAAGTTGACCTTCAGGGTTGTTTTTTTTCTCTTTCATTCTCATGTAGAAGGGTTTAGATTTTCATTGTTGTGGTTTGAAAAAGTATTTCTTGCAGTCCTAACTTTGTGATAGCTCCCCCAAAAAAGCAATTATACTCCCACAATCCTCAGATGATATTCAGATGCCTATTGAATCTGAGTAACTTCTTCAGCATAAAACTTGACACTGCACTTTTCTGAAAGAGAACCAGTCCTAGTTATACACAGGACAGGTGCTTTAGGGGCACTGCAAGAGAGATGCAAACACAAAAACTGTGGATGGTTTTAAAGATTTCTTACTCTATCTGGAAAAACACCGAGACCTAAATATTTTATGAATTCAACAAAAAAAAATTATTCAGCTTGATTTTATGATGGATCTGACATCATCAGGCTAAAAAAAGTCTTGCAAATCTACTGCCTCAATCCCAAAGTTCAGATGTAATTGGTGAACACTGGCATTTCACAGTGCTGCATATAAACAACAGCTACACATGAATTTAATAAAAATATGTTTTCTTTTTAGTCAAATACCTCAATACCTGTTTGCAAGTTATGTCACACTGGACACTTAACATTGACCTTTTGCCTCCCCTCCTCATCACAAAGCTGCACATCCATCCCTTGTTCTCTCCTGATGATTATTCTGTTCACCCAAGCATCCTAAAGGGAGCGTTATCCATTTGAAAGTCCAAGCACACAAACCTACCACTCACAGCATCTTTTGCTACACAAGTATTTACTCAGGGCTGCATGGGAGAAAAGGCACTTGTAGGCTTGTCAAGGTTCTTCAAACATCATGTTATTCTGCTGTTGATTTTCACCTGATAAAGAGTTTAATGCTGAATTTCGCCCCATTTCCACAGCATCTTTTCTAAGGCAATAGATGTTTGTGCTGCTAATCCTAAATTCCCCTCAAACTGACAGAAAATTAGTGCAGAACTTACACAAAACTCAGAGGAGAAAAAAAGCTGGATGCAAGCACATTTACTTGTTCTTTTGGATTCCACCACAGAAACCATCATGGGAAGTGCTTTTTGCAAACACTGTGCCAGAGGGGCTCAGCATGGCTACCCAACATGGCACAGGGACAATGAGGACACCACACACTGGTCTGGTCATCCTGGGAAAGTTTCTTTACAAAAGGCTGACTACAATCAGGGATGGATAACCAGGATGTGACAGATCACACCACCTGTAGGTCAGATAACTTTGTTCCCAATTGTACACATATTTACAGGGCTTCCTATGCTAATTCCTTCTCCAGAGAGGTTCCTTAGAATTAATTTGCAGTTGCTAATCGAATTAGTTGCTTGTTTCAGTAACTCCATTTGAATCTTATTAATCAAATTTGCTTCAATTCCTATGAAAACTGTCAGACTTGCTCTAATTTAATTTTGAAACAGCTTATCTGTTACTCTAGGTGCTTTGCAAAACACAACATGACATAAACTTCCATTTAGAAGTCCTACACAGCAGCTGTTCCCAACATAATCTCTACTTTCTAATAACATATTCCCTGAGCTTCAACACACTGGAGCTGGGAGCAATCAAGGAGAGTGCAAATTCTGCAATTGCATTTTCCTCAGGAAAAAAAGCCAGAGCTTCCCCTCGTGAAAATGGACAGTGCTGAATCAGGAGCATTAGCAGTTACCTCATGAGCACATTGAGCAGTTCAAACTACACAGTCTGTATATGAAATTTCCCCTTGGACACCAAGTTATCATAGCCAGGACTCCACCTGCCAGTACCTCTCCTCAGGTACAGGTTTCCTCCAGATTTTCAGTAATGCCAAGAGGCCCTACAATTGTTTGTAGCAGCAGCCAAAACACAGAAAACATACTGCTCTACAGAAACTGCATTTTACTTGACAACTCCTAGCTTTGCCTTGCCATTCTCTTTCTGTAATTTTTGTCTCTTTTCAATTTAATCATCACTGTTGTTCAAATCCTATCTCTGAAAGGAAGGCAAAAACTCAACAGCCTCTACCCACGAGCATTTCTATTCTATATAACCTTCCCTTTTGTTGCTATTTAATGCTTTTCTATTCTTAACCAGAAAATATACTCCCTCCAGCACTTCATGAAGTTTCTCCCTATCTTCCTCCTCTGGCAGCAAGAAGACATTTTCCAGGTAAAATGTTCACTGAATTAAATTTTTGTAAAAGCAGAAGTGAGAGATCAATTACATCTCTGTTACTTAGAGTGTTCCTTCCCCTTCCCCCACGTAATCTTAATTTAGGAAGAAAGATACATTGTAATTCTTAATTACAATGAAAGGCAACTTTAATTTCTATGTTAATCCACTGTGTTTTTTAAAGTGCAGAAGCACCCTGAACTATGTGAAGCTCTGTGTGAGAAACTGAGTCTGTCCCAGAAGAGGTTAAAAATTTAGGTGCGTGCTGTTATCATGCATTACAGAGTCTGAAAATCACCAGTGAAGTCCCTCAACTCGAAATAACTTCTGAATTACCAAAATCCAGCTCTTCTCATCCAAGTACCTCTTCAGTATTCATACATACTATTCATAGAATGGTTTTGGTTGGAAGGGACCTTAAAGATCATCCCATTCCAACCCACTGCCATGGGCAGGGACACCTTCCTCTAGACCAGGCTGCTGAGACCCTCACCCAGCCTTCTCATCTCCTACCTGTTAGAAGGCAGGAAGATATGTCAACATGTCTATAAATGCTACAATCACTGTTTACTGGCTGTTAAATTTCACTTTGCCCTTGACCTGCCTGCTCTGTGACACAGGAAATGGCAGGGGGTTATTTAACAGGCAGCTCAGTAACAAACACACAGTAATAACAGAAGACCCAGGTATATTATGCTGCTTCACCAAAACCACTACAAGTAATTCCTTCTCAGGAATATTGTGAATCTTTACTCATAGGATAGGTCCTGTTTGCATGACCTTTTGTGCTGATAGGGCAGCTTGCATTTCGCACAGTAAATGGTTTTGTTTCCCACAGAATATTCAGATCTAGATTATATTCAGCTGACGAATGCTCAATGCTCTTGGCTTGGGATAATATCTGATAATTTGAGAGTTCTGTCCTACATCAAAATACAAGTAAATGATATAACCAGAATAAAACAGCCTCGTTAGTTTTAGTTCACCGAAAGAGCTATTTGCATTTTTTAACATATAAATTATTATCCCAGGTCTTATCTTCTAATGCAATTACACGACTACAATACAGTTATTACCACATCTGAAACTTCATACTGCCTTGTGAAAGACTCCAGAACTCACTTAGCTGAACATAATCTTGGACTGCAAAGCAAAGATGAAAAATTTGGTTTAAACAATCAATTCAAACACTGTACTTAATCCAGGTAGGAATTAAGCATCAGCAAACACTGCTATTGAAACCAATTTCTTCATAAAACCTGAGCTTCAAGTGCTGCATATTTTGTATTGCACATAACTGCTTTCACCCACATTCAAACACTATTCTATCACCTCTGCAAAAAGAAGTTTTTAATATTTATTTTATAACTGTTAATGTCTGCCTCAAAATTCCCCAAATGAGTTTTATTTTGTGTTTGAAAGTAATTGTGAAGTCAGAATTTTACAATGAATTTTCTTTATTGAAAAAACTGACTAAAACAATGTCTTAAAAAGTCATTCAGTCCTGTGTTTTTCCTGCTTAAATTGAATACATATGGTCTTTACCTTGTAAATCATTAACTCCCAAAACATTCCTAAGTTAAAATTAATTTCTGGCTGTGAAGCCTGCTTCTGCTGGACTTGTGACCCCCAAAATGAGAACAAAACCCTTCATTTTATTTGGGCATGGAACCCTGTTCTTAACTGCCATGACAGAGTTGGAGTTATTACCCCCAGTCTAGCAACACCTGCCTTTAAGCCCCAATTACGCTCAGCCATACCCTCACTCCTCTAAACTGGGGTCAGTGAAACCACAGGCTGTGTGGAGGAGAACACAAGTGCCTGAACTCCTCATTTAAGCAAATAAAACCACACTTCTTCAGATATTTGGGGCTATGGGTACTTTTTCCAAAAATAAAAAATCTTCACGTTACATGTTGACCAAATCCAAGTTATGCTTTTCCTTTAGTGCACTTATGGTTACTGACAAAGGGATTATGGCAGAGGGTGTTGACACTCCCCCACCACCTCTCCATCATTTTCTGATGAGACTGTTCCAAGTCACTGGGACAGAAGAGCTTTGCCTCACTTCTCAGCTGTGCACAGCTGGATTCCCATATGGAGTAAGTAACACAAAACCAGGGATCCCCTCCCTATTAAAAGCACAGCGTAGTGCTCCTAAAGAAGGGCAAAGATAAGGTGGCTGAATAAATAAGGACGGGAAAAATTAGGATAAAGAGGTATGACAAAATAACGAAAGGACTGCACTGTCCCTTCCCTCAAAGCATCAAGGGAAGCATCTGTTTGTAGCTTTCTCAGCCACTTTCATCCTACTTATGTGTAAATACCATACTGGAAGATTAAAAAACTGCAGATGTTTTTCATAAATAAAAACTGTCTGAGGCTGGCTACTAGGAAAAATCTGTTGCTAGAACAGCTGCTAGGGATAAAGGACAGAGAGAGACTCAAGCAAACAAAGTAACTAAGGAATGTGCATATTCAATGTAAAAAATTGCCCCCTTCTATTAATTATTAAGACCTGCTTTCACAGTTGACTGAGAATAGACAGATCAAGTCCCTCAAATGCTTCTGCTTAAAAATTAAACATATAATTTAGAAAACGCTATTTTAAACATATTTTCATAATCACCACAGGCTGTTTCACTGTTTTCAATACTGAGTTACTCTTGTGTCTGGAGGCCACAAACCAACATAAGAATAGTTTATTACTGAAAGTCTATCTGCAAGCTACTGCTGCATCATTACCTTCAGCAAAAAGAAACATAAATTTCCACTGCGCTCACCAGAGATGACCAGAATTGTTTTACTTGAATATACAAACAAATGTGTGTAGTTCATATATACTAACCAAACAAAAGAGATTATAAGAGGAATCATATTTACACAGCATGACTAACTTCAACCAGCAAAACAAGATTATTCCCCTGAATGCAACAATTATGAAAACAATACAGCTGGTGTCTAATCCAAACCCACTTCATTTATTAATAGGAAGGTCTTCTATCCATTCTTGAATACCTACATCTGAATTGAGGAGGTATTTCTCCTGCATCTTCAGCACTCTTACCTGTATGCAGCACCATTAAGCTCTGGATGAACCACTCCAGGATCCATGCTGGCCCAATGTGTAGCTGCAGTCAAATGATCTTTGTTAACACAGTTTTTCAGACTGTCTGGAATACGACCTAGGATGAAGTGAGGGAGAGGAAGTAAATATACACAAAAATTGTAGGCCTTATGCTCTTAATGTGTTTATGCTAAAAATAGTAAAAAATATTTGCAGGTTTAAATAAATACGCAAAATTACACTGAGAGCTTGGTTATGATCCTCATTGTTTCTCCTTTGCCTGGGACTTAATAATGGCCAAAATACTCTGTATAATATTGATTTCTCTGTCTCTCTTTGTGTCTTGCAAACAAGGTCTCAATAAAACCCAAATCCACAAGATTCAAGCTTTCCATGAAGCTGTAACTTGAATATAGAGTGCAACTACCACTCAAATTCAATAATGCAGCCTCCTGCTCCGAGTCTTTAACACCACTTTCCTCCTTTTCCCTCCATTTGTAACAGCAGTAAAAACACTTAGTGAAGAATGTAAGATTCTGAATAGAATTCTGCCATAAACCTGGATATGACCAACACCCTGTCCTCCTGATCTTCCGTTTATTTATCTCAACTGCTCTTCACATTTATTTACCATCATGTATTAACCCTCAGCCATCCCTTTCATTCCTACAAAAAATGAAAATACACGAGAATTTCCCTTCTTCATTTCTTCAAAACCTTTGCTTAACCTCTGAAGTATAATTGAAGTTTTAAGACTGTCAACCTGATTCAGCACATAACTGGACAACCCTCTCTGTCTGTCTTCTGCAGAACTATCTCCACCCCTGCAACAAATGACATGAACAGATATAAGATGTTTTGTTCATGGCAATATGAATATTTCCACCTATTCCAATCGGAGGAAGATCAATTGGAGCCAGTGTTTTTTCTGACATCTGTTTTAATGTATCTTTTCTAAAGTTCAATCCTACTGTGCATTTGCACAAACAGGGGTAGAAAGAAGTAAGTTTGGGTCCACCCCTGCTACTGTTGGCAATGGTACTCCAGAAACACTTTCAAAAAATCACCATCCTCCATCATTAAAGAATTCAGGCTCATGTCTTCAGCTTCCTATTGGAAATTTGATTAAGGTCTTCACTACTCTTTGTCTGCTCTTTCTATCCATCAGCCTGGCCACAAAGAGGTGGTAAAAAAGCCTGTCACAAAATTGCCTTTCATGTACTGGATACCATCAAATACTTGTTACTCCATGACTTCCACTGACATCACAAAACTTATCACATCTCCTGTGCACAAGCTGAAAAGGTTCTTTTTTCCTCAGTATCAGACAAGATGAGGTACATGCCCCATTATGGGTAGATTCCTACCATTCTCCTGATTAGAAATCATATTCTAAATGTAGCTGAAATACACATCCATCTCAACTTCTGCCAAAACTGTCCACAAATTTAAACAGTATCTTTCTTCTTCTGATGTTTATCCTTCTTAATCACGTCTTCCTCTTTGCCCCTCTCATTCTTCATTTTGCTAACTTCTGTAAGCATGTTCTACTAGTTCTCCCCTTAAAGCAGTATCTGTTTATTTTAAAATTTCACTTGCCATGCTCGCCTTCCCCTTGCTTCCACTACTGTTTTTAGTGGTCCTCTTTATTTCATACTTGGAATGCTTTCAAGTTTAAAAAGATATTTAAAGATATTTAATCTCTGCTTATTATTTTTATTTTATACATCACAACACCATCGACCTTTTGGCAACAGCACAACCACTTAACGTCTTTACTGTCAGATGGTAGCCACAGTCTACATTCCTACTGCACACCTTTTTCCAATTATTTTCCCTCTACACTCTCTCTCTGCTGTGTTCCCCTATGGCTTTCACATATCCATCTTTATTTCACATATCCTGTATCTTTCCTACATGTTTCACAGCAATTCAGTGTTGTTCTCACCTCCCTAACGCTGGTCTCTGTTTGATCTTACTACAAACCATATGCAAACACTGAAGTGCTGACAGCCCCTACACAAATCAGTGATACAGATTGCTAAGAGCACAATCACACACTTTCAGGAATCCTGGGTCTGCCCTCCTAGGCACCTATGTTTGGGCTACTGCACAAATTTAACATAAAACTAGCTCTGGATAGCTCTTATTTAGTTTTCAGACCGTAGCCTATTAATGCTTATTTGCACATTAATCCTCCCTCAAGTAGCTATCGGATGATGGTTCATGCAACCTCTCCTGGAGTTATCTGGGAGCAGGGAACAGTTGTACAACACCCTGACAAACAAATGTACTACTGGAGTTCTTCTGGAGTACTGGCACAAGGATCAATTCCAGCAAAGGGATGGTCAGGCTCTGTAGGTCACCTCTAAAACAGAGCGAAATAGCCCGGTAAAGGACAATTCAGATCAGGAGTTTAAGAGAGGCCTTTAATTAGCATCCAGGAGAATCTTCTCTCTGCACAAGCTATAAATGAAACTAAATTGCCCAGCCTCTCTAGGCACAAGCCAGAGGGAAGGCTACTGCCAGTGTTTTTTGTATAGCAGAGCAATGTGTTGGCACTGAGCTACTCTCAAGGTGACACAGATGGCCCTGCATGTCTGCAGAGCATTCAGACTGTATCGCCAAGGGGGAAACAGCAAAGTCCAACTAAAGAGAAAACATTAGTGCTTAATGAATCATTTTCCAGTATGAAAATCCTTCCTTTTATTTTAGGCTACAAGGGATTCAAACCAATGCCAAATGGCTCAGTCTTCTCATTTTATTTATTAGCAGTGCATGTTAGAGACATAACTGTTTTCTCTTATGTGAGCAGTTTACAATTACATGCTAGTTATATAACAAAGACACTTTGCCCTTTAAAATGCCAGGCTTCTTTAGCAATGCTTTAAAGAGAGGAACATCTAAAATAGAATAAACTCCCAACAAAATACTTTGACGTAGAGAATCAGAACTGTTCCTGCCAAGTATAAGGGGGAACACAGGAAAAGCTAAGAAAGACACCAGCAATACCAGGATGCCTTGCAGCCAATACTTACATGCAACAAAGAAGAAAGGCAGCAGATTTTTCACATTTAAATACATTTCTCTTATATGAAAAAACCACTTATTTTGAAGTGCCTGCCTTCCTTTGTAATTGCAAAGAACTTCCAAAACAACCTGTTCCAGTTCTGAGAACAGACTTAGTGGGGGCATTTGTTCATTTTTGTGTTCCAAATGCTAGAAAAGGCAAACAAAACCTAAGGCTGATTCTTTTCAGCATCTTCCAAGACTGAAGAAAAAAAGGTTTGTTAAGAAGAACGAGGCAGGGAAGGAGCCAACAAGGTGAGTGAATACCTGTGATCGCCCTTCGGATCTCTCGTGCTGCTTCCTCCCGCATCTCAATTGAGGCTTGTTCACTATACCAGGCTGCATGTGGGGTACAGATCAGGTTTGGTGCATCCTTCAAGGGGCCCTGACTAAAGCTAAATGAAGATTTAAAACAAGATCAAATGACAAAAAATATTGGGGGAGGAGGGAGAGGAAAGGGCGGGGGGGGGGAATCCAGATGGATTTGTACACAGACAGATTAATTTTTACAACAGAAAAGAATTGCATTTCTATTCTTCGGTGGGTTTAATTCTGACAGTTAATTTAATACACTACTTATGGTATAAATAAGCAACAATCACCTTTTATAGACTCAAAGGGTAGAACCTAAGTATAGCAGCAACATTAGCTTCTGTCCAATGCACTTATTGTAACTGCAGCCACTGCCACTCCAGTTCTGGGGCAGAAATGCATAAAGCAAAACCCAAATTAAATCAGGATGCCATTCCATTTGTCCAGTTCATCACAATTTTACTTTTACTGCATTAGTCAAGAAAGCTCTGTTCTTTCAGTCAATGTGACGTTCAGTCATTTAAATAAAAAAATCTTACAGTTATTTCCAAATCAGAAGTGTGACCATCAGCACACAAGTTCTTTTGATAATTCAGTTGTTATTTTTCCATTATTTCTAACTAATTTTTTTCTTTCCCGTTCCTTTATAGAAACGCCACAGAAAGAAGGAAATTTACTTTTCAGATTGATTTTCAGGGAAGGCAATGAATCTGTGTAAAAGTGTTATCACAGATACAGAGTAAAGAAACTGAAAATAATGGAAACTTGCTCCTCCTATTTATTTCCAGCTTTAATAATCTTGCAGTCAACTGTAACAACGGGAGAACAAATACTTTAAGACAAAAGCGTGCTTTCAGAGTTGGTCATAATTCAAAAAAGAGATAGATTTCATCTGCAGTTCAATAAACATCAAAATATCTGGCAAAACTCTTGAATAAAGAGTTGCATGCTGCGATCAGATAGACATGCAGCACTGAAGCCAAAGGAAATTGTGGCTGTAATCCTGCAACTGAATCTCTGCAGATGGCATCTCCATGCAGTAAATGGGGCTTCCTAGAGGTGCAACGGGCTGCTCGTGCAGATCCGAGAGCGGAATCGGGAAGAATGTATGGAGCTGGAAGTCCCTTGAGCTGCTAAGACTCTGGCTTTGCACAGCACTGCTGCATTGTAATGACTACATTTAGGAGTAAATGAACGCAGAGTATGCATAAATAAAATTAAATATTTGTGATGTGGCACTGTGCCTCAGTAGATAGAAAAATTCTGACTAAAGGGACACTCTTCTAATTTTTCAAAGCTACTATTCCCCAGCCCCAAGCTGGTATGAGAGATACTGTCCTCTCTCCAGTCTTTACAACCTGCCCTGTGTATCTGTTTCTCTTCAAAAACTTTTGTGGATTGTTCCAGCTAAAATTAACATTTCTCCCTGTCTAGACTGAAAAAGGCTTGTCACACACAAGGACTAAGGTACAGCAGCCTATTCTCAAGGACATATGAATAGGCTCATTTCTGATTAGGAGGGCAGATATCACAGTGCCAGTGCCACTTAGGGGAGTGGTACATTTCTGCCTTAAAACACTGGACTTCTGAGTCATTCAGAAAGTCAGGCTTGTGCTATCAGCCCTGCTACTGACAGCAGAGTTACTACTCCCCTGAATAAAGGGTAAAGCAAAACACAACCTGCACTCTGACAGCCTTCCTTAACTTTTTTTTTTGCGACCTATTACATTTATGGTTTTCCTGCAGAGGCAATCTGGACAAATATATGTCTTTTCCTTCAGAGAGGTGTCATAAAGCAGTTATTTCTCACACCACATCTCAACTCTTTGCCTTTGAAAAACTCTTTTCAGACATCAATATTAGTTGCCTCCAGAGCTGCATCAATGACAAAGGTGCACTCCCCTCAAAGCCACGGCCAAAGGCATGCCCAGGATTTGAACCAAAGCCCCTGTTGCTTCTACTAAATAAACCCACTGATTTTTTTTTTTAAAGGAATTAAATCTTGGATGTGGCTTTTTTCACTTCTGACCACATACACAAGCTCCATCTACATTTGCATTAGTCCAGTGCTGCACAGAGTCATGTTGCTTTGCTAAGGAGTCTTTAGCTACCAAATGAACGGAAAACTCAGTTTACTTGTTGCTGTTGATTGTATCATGCACTAAGACTTAAAAATAAGAAAGTGAACGAAATAAAAAGAAAAGAAAAGGAAAAGCACCTGAATGGTTCTGACTCATGTACATCTAAGGCTGCCCCTCGTATCCTTCCTTCCTTCAGGGCCTGTGCAAGTGCTTTTTCGTCTACTAACCCACCTCGAGCTGTGTTGACCAGGAAAGCCCCTTGTCTCATCTAGGGAAAGTTAAAAACAAGAATGATGAAATAAAAATAAATGAAATAAAATCGTTGTGGCATTATTTTTTACTCAAAAGAAGCATCCATTACAACAAAGGCTATTCAGCTGGTTTAAACTGTAACACAGTTGTCTTCCCTTTCCATTGGAAAGTACCACAAAATGTGATGCTTCTAACATAAAATGCTATTTCACAGCACTTAATAACCTTTTGTTTCTTGTAAGTAGTGCCTTTTAATAGAAGCGTTGTTTCAGATATTGTGCAGTAACATGATCAAAAGATACAACTGTGCATATGAAAGTGACAGATCATTTTATGCCTTTTTCTTTCACTGTGAAATTGCATGAGACAGAAACTACAGCACATTCTTAAACAAATTCATACTTTGTGGCTTTCAACTTTCACACAAATAAAAGCCTACATGATTTTTTCAGAAAAATCAATGCTTTTGGATTTTCAAACACTTTTCCCTTTAGTTGCCAAAACACAGTAGATGTATGTATTATTTATTTTTGTTACTTCAGCTTCCTCCTCCCCTGTGAGACTTTTCAAATAAAGGCCTAAAGAATACTTCTATTATTCAATTAAAAGGCATGAAAATGAATTTGGTTGAGAACGCTGTGTGCCCAGGAGAGAAGCTGTGCTGTGCATTGTGCAGATTAGCATTGTAGATGACACTGCTTGGGGAGAACTACAAGAATTTACACCACAATATATCCACAACTTGAAAACAAAGTGGCAGCTTAAATAAGAGATGGTACAGAAAAAAACATAAACTACTACATCCTGCTTCCAGCCACCCTAATACTTCATCTTTTACCAGATGTCTCAAACACTTCAGTGCATGAAGGTAAAGGGTATGAAGAGCAGGAACCATGGTGAAGATGAATTATAAAAATCTCATTTTGTACTGACTCCGTCTATCACCAAACGAATAAGAAAACCCCAACATTTTGACACCGACTTGAAATCTACACATCAAACTAAACCTTATGTAAATGGATCCTAACGCTGAAAGACTGATTCAAAATGCCAAATTCATGAACAACAAGAAGGTTTGGATGACAGTCAGCTATGAGGATTTTTTCTTGTTTTTACGAGATCGTAGGGAGTATAACATACATATGCTTGCAGTATTTTATAAGGAAAAAACCCACCATATTTTACTGGCCAACTCTCTAGGTGTACTGTGGCCCTGCCTCTCTCCATTTGCAGATTCCTGGGACAACAGAGAACCATCCATTGGTGTGTACAGCAAAACCAAACTCCACTTACAGGAGCAGAACTAAAGAATGCTTCTCTCAGTTTTACGTAATTAACTTGGGAATTAGGACAGTAAAGAAACGAGGGCAAGATCTTAAGTTGGTCTATTAACAACATGACATTCCTTTATGGAAATTACCACTGCATTTCCAATACTTGGATCAGCTGTGAGAATTATTATTAAAACAAGCACAGGTGGGCTCAAAGAGACAATCACACCTGCTGTGTCATATCAGCTCCTGGGAGCTCATATACCCTCCCCATCTCTGTGCAAAGGGGTAACTTGAGTTTAAAGTACAGCTTGGTGAATTTATATGCCCTCTGAAGGACTTGAACATTTTCACTGAAGTGAGCCTAGATAAAATCTTCTGTCCAGTCTGTCCAACAACCTTGCTTCAGTTTTCATTTCAGGGCTATTTACAAAACTCTAAAACTAGTACTAAGACAAGTTCAAATCAAACAGAACACGGCTGCACAAATGCCTTCTAGTGGGAATGAATTAAGTGACTCATGATAAACTGCCAGGGTGGATGCAGCTGGAGATGATCCTTAACAATGGGTGGAAGCTTGAAAGAGCTTCACAGCTAGAACTGCTGACAGCTGTTAAATTTACCTGCACAGCTGCTTTAAAATTTATTGTGTTTTAACTGCAGTGTCTTCTTCTCAAATCTGTAACACTAAAAGATGACCTCAGCTTCTCTTAAGAGCACCTGATTATCACAGGTTCAATGAAACTTCTGTGAGCTACTCTGGGAGTACAAGGACAAGCAGGATGGCTAGGCAGAATGCTGACTAATTCAAGAGAAAAGCTACTGAAAGACTGACACCAAATATTCAAACACATTTAAGGTTATGTAATTTCACATTCTGAACAAAATTCAGGGTTAGACTTCAGTGAAATGAGATGCACCACACTTCTCTGTATGTTGCTTAAAAATTGGTTATTACATGAACATGCAATATGGGACAGAAGTGGCATGCAATGCTCTCTAGAAGTTTTAGGCCAATTCTGTCTGCCTAAATCATGATCAGGAGACACAAACTAAGTATTCAGAGGTGTCACAATTTTATGGTTTTCACATCAGCTTTTACTGTACAGACTGCTTCACCCAAACTCTTATACAAAGCAAACACTGTCTTCTAACATTTTAATCCTTGCTTTGATCATGAAAGGAAACAAATGGCAGGATAGATGTTTGCAATATACTTTCCAGTGCAGATTTTATTATAGGCATTTCATTTCAGACGGTATTACTCAGTTTTAACATGCTTCTCTTTGTTTGTTTCTCTGAATAATGCACTAAGCCTTCTCCAAAGCTTGACACATTTATCCACCTCCACTCAAAAACTTCCTGTGATAAACTGGCCCTAGTTTCATATCTGCTGTATAATGAGTGACCACTGCTCAGTGGTCCCACTGAATTCAGTGTGATTCTGTTTGGGTCCAGATGTCTGCTTGCAAAGACATCTAACCATGTAATAACCACTGCATGTACACAGGCACACAACAAAAGGAAATGTTCCAGGCAGGGTGACAGAGCTCTGTTCTCTTAGAGGTTTCATTTTAAGCTTCTTAATTTTTTCGAGTTTTAAATCCCAAATCCTGATTTTATGTTGGGATGGATTTGCAAAATCCTTCAACTCTCAAATCAAGAAGTGTGTTATACTGTCCATTTTCTGCCATGATCCTACGTGACTGTGGAACATGTTCAGTAAGTATTTCAGTTCTAAAGTTCAGGAGTAGTGGGTGCAAACTATTTCTCAGAAGACAAGCAATGATTTTACTTCAAAAGAGTGCTACTGTCATTGTTACCAATACATACAACACTCTCAGAAACAGCAAAATCAACTATTCTATCTTAGGGTTTCTTCCCTGAACACTGTCTCCATTCTTACATCTCAGATCATATTTCTTGCTGTCACCTACACTGAGGTCAGAGTCAGAAGCCAAACATTTAATGAAAAAACTTACTATCAAATTAGTTCAATAACAGAGCACTTACTGGATCCAGATTTCGAAATTATTTTAATATTACCTAAAACTTTGGGGAGGGGATAGTACTAATTCCAAGAAACATTATTTTTCCCAATAACACAATGCTGTAAATGAGCTCCATCCATGAAGTGCTCTGCGAGCATCGGGACTGAGCACAGGGGGGAGCCATTTAGTCACAATCCTTCAATTGCATCGAAAGAACTCAAACTGAGAAACAAAAGTGAAAGGCAGAATTGCTACCTGAAAATACACATGTAAAGGAAGTAGCTACTCCACGACATAGGAAAAGTACTTTTACATCAAGGCCACTTTATTAAATCTGAACGACATTAAGAAGAGCAAATTATTTCCGCAAATGCAATGTTACCGAGCCAAAAAGACAGTAAAGGCAACAATACGTATGCCACCAGCTATTTCCTAATCAACTATAAACCTGTATGATTACAAAAGCAGCAAAAGGGAAAGAAATTTCTTTCAAATGAGAATCTACCTATTTACATAAATAAACTCTACACAGAGTTGGCAACCAGCACCGGTGTGGAGGGCGCCCACAGAGATTATTACCTGCTTTATGGTGAAGTCATTAATAAGATGATGATTGTGTTCATTCAAGTTGCAGTGCAGGGTAACACAGTCACTGTGGAACAGCAGGTCCTGCAAAGTGCTCACCCGCTGCAGTCCCAGAGCACGCTCCATGCCATCCGAGAGGTATGGGTCATAGAAAATCACACTGAAGCCAAAGGCTTTGGCACGTAGTGCTACTGCTTGCCCAACACGCCCTAGAACAAGACAAACACGCAATGAGAACAGATGTGGAGCAGCTGGTGTGAGGTAGTCTCCTCCTTCCTAATGGGAATGCTTGTATCAAACTATAACGCTTTGTACAGCAAGTGGAAGAGCAGAAAACAGAGGCAGCCCCCACCCCACTCAAAATCATCACTAAGATCAGAAATGATACATCTGGACTGTTTCACACTGCCTTGTTTGAAACAAAGCAGGAGGTTTGCACCTTTTGTAACCAGATATCTGAAATGCCAGAAGATGTCACGTAATCTGCAATAATCTGTGTAATACAAGGTTTGCCTGCTGGGCCTGTTTATGGCAAAACACCACTGCCTGTGAACACATCCTGCCAAGGACTTAGTCTAACCCATGTCAAACCAGCTGGCTTTAATAAAAAGCTATAAAATTAATCCACAAAAATGGATGCAATGAAAGATAATTTGTTTAATCTGAAGCGCAATCATTCTCAATGCATGAAATCGCCTTTCTAAACTAGTATTTTCTTTCACTTTGAGCAACACCCTTCCAGCATTGAAATGCCTACGAGAATCCTGTCATTGAAGGCTTTAAAATAAATTTTATTCAGCTACCTAAATGATAAATAAACACCATTCATCATATGGCACTAGTTAAGAAGAGTGCTGCCTCACTGAGTATTCACATTGACCTTTGCCTTTCTGTTCCACTTTCCTTACTGCCACATTTCAAGACTTGTGCCCAAAACTGCTGTATGGGCATGACTCCATGCCACATGTATCAGGGGCTGTGTTATTTCCCTTTGACACATTACCAGTAAAACACAGAGAAAAAAAACTGAGTGAGTACACCTGATGAGTTACAGGTATTTTGAAGAGCGAGAACTAACACACTTTTCAAGTTAGAAGGCTACACACTAAATACTCACATTAGAGTATTACAAATGTTGGATAAAGATGTTTCAAAAGCCTCACTTGACAAAGCATAATAATAATGTCTCATTTGAAAAAAAATAAAACACCCAAAAAAGTCAACAAGTTTTCTTTTGTAACATCTGAGTTTGTTCAAAAAAGCATCAAATTAACCCAGGGAAATCCCATCTCTTCCCAATTGTGCTTGAAGGGATTTCCCTCTGCTTTTCAGTTTCTCTTTGAATAAACTTGAGAAGCCATAGGAAGAAAGGTTTTTTGTTGATCATTTAACCTGAACACAGCGATTCTGCAGTGCTTAGTGACAGATGTGCTTGGAATATTAAACAGTATGTCAACCTGATAGGGGCTGTTTGCTTTTCTTTGGGGACAGCAAGTTAAAATACTCCTCAAAATCTTTTATTTCAGTACTTGCATGCACGTCATTTATTTGCTTTCCAAGCTGTTTTTGTAAATTTGAAATAGAAAATTTTCAGCACAAACACTGTATTATTTTCAAATTTTGGCATGTTAACAGCTCAAGAAATCAGTCACACAACTGTAAACACTCTTTATTTTTTTTTTAACAAAGCAAATAGCTGTTACTCCAGCTCCATTCATTTTCACATGCAACATTCTGTCATCTGCTCTTTCTTACACTCTTTACAACACTAATACCTGAGGGGATTCATGACAGTGAAATCTCTCACAACAGACTCTCCAGTAAAAGCCACACTCCCCATTCACTGCAACCAGGCCAATAACCCAAAACCTTCTTCAATGGGCACAGAAGTTTCCTTCTGAAACACTTGGGAATCATGCCTGTACTTCTAACGAGAATTGTCCTATTACAATCATTTTATGGGATAAAGCTCTTCTGCAACTGACAATTCATATTTAGTCTCAGTCATTACACACACACACAGAGATGGACACACATAATTCGCCAATTCCTCTCTAAACTAAAATCCAAACACCACAAAACCTATAATGCTTTCTAACCTTTCCAAAAAAAAGTTGTAAAGTAGAAGACTCTCCTGGACATGAGGGGTAGCTCAAAACCTACCTCAGCAGCTCACAAGCAATACATCACACAAATCATCCCACCTTTGGGACAACTCTATGTTAAGAGCATATAGAATAGTTATGAATGTGCATGGCTGCTTCCAGGGAAGGCAAAATCTTAACTTCAAAACATTGAGCGAATTTCTTGTTCTGTGGTGTGAGAAGAATGTAGAAAATGCACGTTGCGTATGATTGCAAAAAAAAGCAGAAAGCAACAAAAGCCTATTTTAGAAATTAAAGGTTTATATAAAGTTCTAGCAAGGTCCATGCATCATTTCAAAAGAGAGACTCAAAAACACTCGAGTCTCCTATTACATCCATTCACTCCCCCACAAGTCTCACAAGTTCCCCCAAGTGTCCCAATTTGTAGGTGTCTCTGACCTTGACTCTGCCAACGACTTGAATGTGACAGTACAGCAGCTGCAGTTGTCAGTGACCCTGCTCAGCCCTTGGGCAATGAACACTCCTCCTATGCTGGTACTACAAAGTTTTATAGAACAACCTTGATACCATGGAAACATTGATGACCTGCCTGAAGGCTTCTGTGGAAAGGAAAAGTGCTTTCACTTAGCAGCTCTTCCCTGCCATAGAGAATATGGCTATTTTTTCCCTGCTTCTTGGAGAACTGTGCAATGTGGATGGTAATACCACCCAACTCTTAAGCCTTATTGTCTTATAATGCAGGTTAGTAATTAGGCCAATATCTAGGAAGGACTGTGGGACTGCTGAGAAAATACAGCACATCAGGAAAGACAAACTGAGCGATGAGATTCACTATGATGTGGGGACAAACTTGGAAGAATTTCACCTTTCTCGAGTGAGGAAATGCATTAGCTATTAGTCATCAGCATTTGTCACTGCGAAGGAAAAGGGAAGGGAGTGTGACTTCACTGCTATAAAATTATTATTAGAGCAGAACCAGGTCCACCTATCCATTCAATTACTTACATGCTGCTGATCATAAATATTCTTTCTTCAAAAAAAAAATCCTATGTCTAAATATAAAGTGGAAAGGTAGCTTTTTTTCTTTTAAATGCAGGGCTTACTAACAACACTTGTGATTGCATCACTTCAAATATAGGACACTGGATAGTAATAAAGATTAAAAGTGACAAAGACAGCTGTTTAATGGTGTGATATTATTATATATGTAATGCTCAAAGAATCCCACACTTCACAAAACCAGAAAGAAACACAGGCTGTGCCCTAAGGAGCTCAGGGTCTAACAAAACATCACAACAATGGGATCCAACAGGCACCTGAAGGAGGCATTAGGCTGTTGAGTCTCTGCTTATCTTCAAGCTCAATACAAGAAGAGAATGAGAGATGGGGTTAACTTTAAAGGAAGAGTACAGAGTAATAGGATTAAGGAGGATAGACTAAGTGTCAAAGCAGGAATATGCATGAGAGAAGGCAAAGAAAAGAGAGTGGGTGATGGAAAGAAGGCAAGTGAGTCACGAAACTTGGCTAGACCAGTGGATAAGTGAGAAGCTGAAACTTTGGAGAGAATGACATAGTCATTCCCTAGCACAGAGATAGGCAAGAGCTAGGGTGTTTCTCTTTGGCAGAACAAGAGAAAAGCCCAGAAACAGATGCAAAGAAGGCCTGGAGCTAGCTGTTGCAGCAGCAAAGTGACAAATTTAAACAACCCACTGCTAAAGAGACCACAAGTTTTGGACAAGAATAGAGAAACACAGCTGTGGTTGAGAGAAGATGATCTCAGACACACGTTAACAAGAAAGGACAGAAACTGCGACACTACACAGAACTACAGAAAAGGACTTGGTAACAGATGATGAGAACTGTTTATTTTGTGTGTAATAGATTCATTTCACAGCATCTGAGTGGATCATCACTTCTGACACTGACATGTTAAAATAATAAAATAATAAACTGAGGCGAAACACCAGACATGGGAAGAGGCCATTAGTAAAGCAACACAACCTAAGGACAACAGTCTTTTGAAGTCTTTTCGTTGTAAATACATGTTTTAGTCTGAAACTAGAGACAAGTAGCCTCTTGCAGGGATCTGTACTAGAAAAGGGAGTACCTCACAGCCTAAGTGTCTGAAGTGCTCACACAGAAACTCTAGTACAGCCACCAGTAGCACAGTCTACATTTTAACTCTTCATTAACACACAGGAGTTTGTTAGAATAGCTCAGAATCAAAGTGTTGTGCTTAGTCGCATCCATGCACAAGAAGGAAGAGTGGAAGTTTCCAAAAGTGACTTTACAGCTTAATTTTCCTTGAAATTGTGAATATTCTATTGTAGGAAAAGATATAGGAACAACAAAAGACTAGAGACAATGACGGGTTAATAACTGCAACAGATGTGTGCCTTTAAAATCAGATTTTGCTGGGTTTTTTTTAACATACCATGCACGTGGGAGGTTTGCTTTTTAAAACTAAAACCAAAACCTAGCATTCTATAAAGCTTTATGCACATATTGGCAAGGTGATTATCCATTTGTTTCTCTATACTTTTCAGTCATTCACAACAAAAGCAACACATCACATTCACTTAAAGAAGTCAACAATGAATGACTTTTTCTAATCTCAAGTCTAAATTTGTTCAGTGGAAAAAAAAAAATCCAATTACAACAGGACAGATATTTCCAGCATATATGCATGTGAGATACACAGTATGTGAGCCAAAAGCTTAAGTTCCAAAAGCTAGGTACGCATTTCCATTTTGGAAACACTGCAGGCAACTGTCTATTACTTATGTACAGATGCTGTGACTGTGAGTGCAATAATCATTGTGTGTTTAAATGAGATGCATAATTACATGAGAATAGATTTGAGAAAGCAACTTCATGACTAACTTCTTGAAAGTCATATTTTAAAGGCAATTCTTTGATTGTGAAGATGGTTTTGGTGTATTGCACGCTCAATTAAATGAGCACTATGTAATGCCAGGCTATTTTCAGCTTCCGAAAGTAAGAGTTCGTGGCTTGAGTTACTTGACAGCAGTGTGTAACTGGAACAGTCATTTAAGTATGATGCTTTGTTGGCAAAATCATATTATTAATTCCTGTGGATGAATAGCACAGCAATTGCATCCACAGTGTATCAGATCTGTGTTAAGACTGAATAATTTTTATATAGAAACTGACTTCCTTGTTTTTCTTCTCTACTTCTGTAACAGACAGTAATTAATTCATCTCAAGCAAGCCTGTCCATCTGTTGGATGCTGAAACACATTTAGGGCCACTCAGAGAGGTAAGTAGGTGATTTTATTAGGCCTGGAAATATTTCAAACTTTCTTGCATCTATTTTTCCTCTCATTAGAGCTGAAATGCAATTTCAGATGCAGCTCAACCAAATGCACAAACTAACTGCTCTGCAGGCTGTTACTGCAGAGAAGACTTTTCAGTTACGTAAAAAACAGTAAAAGAATAGAAGGCCAAACAGAACCAGATATGACAATGGATAAGGAATAAAACATATACATGGGACACTGGGTTGAAGTAGCAGGATCCTTGCCCTGGAAAAGGGAAGTGATGATGTCTCCTCTTACAACCAGTGGGCCTGACACCAGGCAACATGGTAACAGAAAGATGTATAGAAACTCAAAAGAACTGAGAGAATATCAGCAACAAAATCAGTTTTCTGAGGAAAACGATTATGTCTAAAGGGAAAACATCTGAAATTTATAAACAACAGGAAAGAAGAGGGATTATACACAATGTGTGACACAGAGTGGATGAAAGGGTCCCATTTTTATAGCTCAAATCTTTCTAAGTGAAGAGTATTAAACCACCTGCCAAGACAACATACCTAATCCAATAATGCCCAGGGTCTCCCCTCTGATCCTGGCAGCTCCAGAGGCCACTTCCCGAATCTGTTCAACGCTCTGTACTCTCGTGCCTTCCCGCAGAGCCTGGTGGAGCCAGGTGGTTCTCCTGTACAGGTTTAGAATGTGGCACATGGTAGAATCTGCCGTTTCTTCTACGGAGGCGGCTGGCACGTTACACACTGCAATCCCTGCAAACAGTGGGGGAGAGCACACCAGTTGCCAAACATTCTTACTTTTTTCCCATTTCACAGCAGTTCAGGAGTATGACGTTTAAAACTACAGGTATTTCAACATGTCTTGCACAAATACTAAGTTTCTGACCATAAAAGCAGACAGAATACCTGAGGTAATAGTTGATAAATACGTGCTAACTCATTTTTCTGCTTTTTTAACTACTACTGTGTTTTTATTTATTGCAAACTAAGGCAAATAGTAAACAGACCACTGAAGCCACAAAAGGAGACCACTGAAGACATCAAAGATAGTTTAGAACCTCAGTCTTGGTAAGCGTTTTACATTTCCACTGAGCTTGGTGTTCTGAATAGCAGAGAGAAATCTGCCTTGCTTTCAATAGTGTGGTTAATGATGATTGTTTAGGTTTAATTGTGACTTGGCTTTTTCCTACTGAGCAGATAGGCTCCCAAAAGCCATCTATGCAAGTTACAAAAAGGATAAAATAATTTATAATGACAACAACTCTTAGAAAGCCCTCACAGGATGACTACGACTAATTCCAAATCATGTATGGGTAATCATGACACAGGGAGGGACAATCTGTTATGTGTTGCACATGGGTTTGTAGAATTACAACAAACAGAATCCCAGTCCTTTCCTGGTCCCTCAGATTAAAGAGAGAACCCACCTAATTGTCAACAGGGAAATTGAAAATCTGCTTCTGCATGGCATGCCAAATTAAGTCCATGTTGCTAATAACTCTAAAGTTACTGGTTGAAACAGGTTTAAAATCAAGCAGCTGAAAGAGTGTTACAGATTTCCACAGAAAACTGGAAGGTGGATTGATTCAAGACTCACAATAAGCCTTTTTTACTTCAAAAAACCCAGATGAGGCAACAAGTGATTGTAATTGCATCCAAGTTACCCCATTCTGCTTTTTACCTTCTAGTACTCAATACACAGCAGTTAAGCAAAATGTTTGCTTGGAAAAATTTGTGTCCTTTTTGACTTGTCTCTCTTCGTCTATGTACTGCATGTTCTCTCTCTAATCATCAGCTCCCACAAATGTTTGTCTCTCAGTTCTGCTGACTGAGACAACAAATAGCACACAGTATAATTTCACGGTGGAGAAAAAAAAAAAGTGTTTTGTATCCTAAAAACACCCTGTTTTCACTGTTTGGGTTTTTAACATAACTAAATATTCAGTAAGTGCTCAGCTAATGCCAGCGTATCTTATGAAGCAAGGAAGAAGAAACATTCTCTTCAATAATAGCAATAACAATAATATAATAAGCTCATACCGTATTTATCTACATTTTACATTCAAATGTCTTTACTCTGCTGCCCATAACTTATTTTACAGCTTTCTCTACATCGATAAAAACCAACACAAGGAACCTGTAGAACTATTTTCTTTCCTCTTCTGTGGAGATGATCATGTTTGCTGAGTCACTGCTCTTAAACTTACAAAAAGATATACCAGCATCACATGCTGGAATATTAATCCTGGCATCCTGCAATCATCAGTGGTAGCAGGAAACTCACACTTTTTAAAAATGGGGAAAAAAGCTGGGGGAAAGGTAAAAGACTGAAAAATAACATCCCTCTAAGTACATCATAATAAACAGCTGCATTTGTTTATCCAAAAAGCCTTTTTCTTAGAAGCAAAAATTCAGGGTTTAGATGGCAAAGTAAATTTAATAAGTGTGTCTCCTAACAGCTGGCATCAACCAAATAACACTTTAAAAGGAGCTTAAGGAGTTATATTATGTATTTGGGAAGAGAAATAACATACCTTTCTCCCTAACAGGTTTCCTCAGGAAACTGAGGGAACAAAAGTCAGGTAATTTCTCTCCTGAACTGCAGGGACTTCTTTTTCCAAATTTTTCCCCAACTTTAAAACCAGGGTTTTTTTGAAAGGTAGAGAGACATAGTCAATCACAAAAATCAGCAAGAGTGAGTTGAGGAGATGAAGAGACATCTCACACAGTACACTCTCATCTCATATCCATCTATCTATGCTCCCTTCCCTTTCTCCTTTTCTTGCTGTTTTCAGTGATTTTGTACACAGATTTGATACCGGAAAATGCAGGAGTCACCAGGCATTACCTTCACTCCCACTTCACCTGAATTCAGCTACACCCACAACTTCTACAGATTTTCTAGTCAACAATTATTGAAGTGAAGAAAAAGCAGATTTTATCCAAGAAACACATTTTCATGCTTTTTAAGATAAAACTGGTAATATAAAAATAACGCTTCATAGGAAAAGCTGGTAACAAGCCCATGTGTCAGCTGTGTGAAAAATAACTCAAGAAGTTACTGTGTAAATTCAGGATTATGTCAGATCTCTGGTCTAACTCTACGCTACATTTCAAAAGTGAACCAAAGCTTTTTATAAACAGCAGTTTACTCTCCCATTACCTCCTTGAGATGTGTATTATGTGCACTGTTTCAACAAATGGAAATTTGTCCCAGTAGTGCTTAGTATTTCATTGCAGCCATTTCACCCAAACTATTAAAATCAGAGATTTTAATTTCACTCTGTAATCCTTCCAGCATTTACTGCCTATTGACGGAGTGGACAATCCTATTTTGTAAATACTGGGATGCACAAATAAGTTGGATCCTAACTGTATAAATCAGTCTAATCACAGCACAGGACCTGAATGATAGGGAATGTGGCCATTTAGCATTGCATATGAATGAGAATTTCCCAAATCTGCTGTACTCTGGCTTGAAGAACTATGTGGCTGCATTTAAGTTATGAGATTGGGTTACAATCCAGCAGAGAGACTTGCAGAAGAAACAGACAACAAACCTGCAAAGATCTTCCTCTTATCAGGAATTCTCTCCACAAATCAGACCCCTGAAGTTCTCCACTTTCTCCACTCCTGACTGGCCAGAACCTTTGATCTGTACTTAGGTTTTGGCTTTTGATCTGGGATTTTACCCTAGGCCAATCTCTACAGAGACAGATGTTTTCTGGGTCTCAACACGTGCCTGACTGGGGTACTACTTACAACAGGCAGAACACAGCCCTGCACACTCTCAGACCTGACCTGCTCTTTATAAACTCAACAAGGAGTGGCTGGGTTGTCTCTGCTGTGCAAACTACACTGCCATCAAAACAGGTCAGTATTTTACTATCATTAGCCGATAAACAGACCACGCTACAGCTCCCCACTACACCAGTGGGGTTATTGCTAGGACTGTGTACTGCTACAACTGATTCTAAGATCTTCCCAGAGTATAATGGGAAACATACTTGGTCACCTCAATCTTGGCAAAAACCTGAAGAAAATCTTTACTCCAAGTGGTAGGTTTACCTGTAGACTACAGGTAAGAGATAGTTTAACCTAAAGTAAGAAAAGCACAAATCAGACTGTTGCTTTTGTTACAGTGAAACATTAAGCACCATCTCTTTTCACAGTTGTAGTAGCTGAATTTATTCTAAAGCAGCAACAACTGATTCTCCTCTAAAATCGGTATTTCTATTTTATGGAGTGGTTTAGTACTAAATCTCATGCATCATAAATAAGTCTCAGACAGTTGATAACGATCTCATTTTTTATTCAACCAGAAGGAGTATGCCACAGTGATGGAATTATATTTTGTAATTGGATTACAGCAGTAGTACTTAAAATATACAACTGGGGTGAAAAAGAAAGAGATGAAAAATTATGGCCTTACTCCTTGGGTTTATAAAGAGCAGGCAGATTGTCATCCTGTCACAAAGCTGTTAATATTATCACTTAATTAACTAATGCTAGTATTTCCATAATGAGTTTTAAACAGTCTGATGAGAAAATTATACAGCTTACATATGATGCTGGTATAAAACATACAGAAAACATTAATGCAAAGATTTAGATGCTATCAGGTTTCTGGAGGCAAGTGTAAGATGAGAAATAAAGTCTGTAACTGTCATACCTAAATCTCCAGCAGATTTGATGTCAATATTATCAAAACCACTGCCAATTCGGACAATTATTCGAAGTGCTTTAAATTTCTCCAGGTCTTCTCGAGTTAAAGTGATAGTGTGATACATCAGTGCACCCACTGCTTCATTTAGTACCTATAAATAAAACAAGAAAAAATACTTATTTCATTTTTTTTCTTTCATAGCTTAATCACATATACATAGTTTCAGATATAAAAAGACTGTAAAAACATTAAATCCAGTTTTGTTCTGTTTGTTAAAGGTTATTTCTCCAAATATGTTTCAGACTCTTGGTAAGTCTTTTTCATCTGATGTCTCCTTTCTAGCACAATGGCATCAGCTTTGGAAGAACTAAGTGACCTGTATTCTGCTCTTATTAACTGGGAAAACTCTTCTCATTCCACAGGATATGCTCTGCAATACCAGGCCTTACATACAAGTGCCACTGGACTGCATCTGCACACTCAGATGAAGCACAACACGGGAGTGAACACTCCCTGCAAACAGTGAGTAAGTATTTTATGCTCAGGTAGCTGACCTTCAGCTCTGAATGGAGTTATGGAGCAGTATCTCTTTACCACACACACACAGAGGGGCTACGGGCATTCACTGAGCTATTAAACCACTTGATACCTGAATAGAAAACATTCAGTGATCATTATGAACCCCTTCCTCAACAGAGACTGAAATCTGTCAAATCATACATAAGAACAAAAGTGTTTGCCCCTCAGTTTACTGATACTGCAACCAAGCTCTCACTGAAGGAAAAGCGGATGTCATATGAATTGGTAATAACTGACATACCAAAGCTGACATTATCCAGAAAAAAATCCAAAACCTCTGAGAAATAAGAAATTGCAACAAAGCCAAAATGTTGCAGAGAGACCACCAAAAAAGCAAAACCAAAGGATATTCAGACCCTGTCACATTAAGTTAAGTTAGAGGGCATCCAACCTACTCAAGAGCACTTAAGAGGAAGGGGTGTGGAGAAGGGGATGGGAGCCCAGCAGTTTCAACTGTTTTCACTGCATCCCACACAGCTGATTCGAGTTTATTTTTCACAAAGCAGAGAATATTTTCCTCTTTATATGCAAACTGTAGGACTTCTCTTCTTCAAAACACCTCCCTGTGCTTTTACCTTCAATGCATGAGCTAATATCCTACTCATTCTACGAGACACAAAATATGTACAAATCATTTCAGTAGCTTAGCCAGCTGTAATGACTTCAAGAGATTCCTACGACACACTTCACATGAAAGTTCTGCAGAGGCTCTAAATTTTCTTATTGGATAGACTTTTAGGTGTGGTACATGTACAGATTCTGTCATCTGAATTATTTCTGCTCATATGACCACTTCCTAGTGTACTGTAAGGTCAGCAACAATAATCAACATACATACTTTGAAAAAAAATATTGCAGCAAAACACAGTCTTGCACTCAGAGGATTACAACTGCTGGAACTCAAGATCTGCAGCAGTAATGTTTGAAATTAAAATCTACAAAGAAAAAAATTTTAAAGAAATACCAAACTCCATAAAAATGAAAGAAAAGCACTTCTTACTGAATACTTCACAAAATTATTTATGCTATTTCAACATGTGTTTCTGGACTGGGAAACTCAGTTCTAAGTCAGATAAAGGCCAGAATCCTCTGAGTAGAATTTGCATTTACTAGTTAAAATAAGAACTGCAAAAAAAATCACAAATTACACATCCTTAAAGAATGCAGCTACAACATAATTCAAAGACCAGCTGTAGGCTCTGATCTTATGAAATGATTACACACACAGAGAACTCCTTGATTTTAATGGTACAGCTAAGTCCTTTGCAGATTACATCTATCAGTCCCCAATCAAAAAGACTGCAGTCATCAGGACACATTACCTTGAGCTGTTACAGAAGGTTAATAAAAACCTAAAACAGTTTATTGCATCTCCAGTGACATTACAGTTGGCATGGACCAAGCCAAAGGTCATGTCTGAGGCAGCCTGCACAAGATAAAGTCCCTCTTAGAACCTGAATGCCCACCTAAAATGCCCTTAGGTTATTTTTGGTCCAACCAGAGCCTAAAAAAAGTTGTTCAAAAATCTCCCAGTTTCAGTGATAGAGAAATTTCTTCAACCTCAGTTGCAGCACCTGTTACTACTTCAAGCCTCAAGGTCCTCAATATTCATGATATCCTGGTTGCCTCCAATGAGCCAGGTCCTCTATTCTGTGTTGAATCACACATATTTTCTCCTGCCCCTCCAAGGTTGCTCTGGATGGCTGTGCTGCAACATCCTCTGTGTAGTTGTAAGATAAACAAAACCTGAAGAAGCTCAGAACTTTTGAGGACACCCCTAAGGCTCTTGTGACAGCCACACCCTCCTCTCCCAGACTGGAAAAGGCCAATGGTGTGTGTGTTTTGTGGGTATAGAGCTGCCACTGCTTTAAGGACTGCATTAATCAGGGGCTAAAAAACAGCTGAAGCAGCTCAGACATTTATGTTTTAAAATCAGAGTGTTTCATTGGGGAAGCAGCTTTTCACTTCATACTCATACATATTTTATTAACTCGGCCAGTCAAGACCATCATTTGGACTCTAAGAGCACCAGTCTGGACCCATCACACCACATTTTTGGGACTGTCTAGGTTATGGCTTGGCACTAGGAGGAGATAGAAAAGTATTGGAAAGCTTGGGAATGTGTTCAATAAAAGGAAAAATATTTCCTTGTTATGGCTTAATGCTGGCACTTTCCATTTCCACAGGCAGTTATTTACCCATCATATGAGATACGGAACAAACAGATGCAAATGACAAATCCTTTAGAATTTCTTTTTGGTGACTGAGCCTCTCCTACAATTACGGACTAGTTAGCAAGGAAATCCACTGCAGCAAATATAATACTCTGCAAGTGTGTATTGCATCACATTAATTTGATAATTTAATTATGTTCCAGCTTTTTGCAACCGGCAAAAATGCTGAAAAGGCAGAAAATAATACCAGAAAATTTGAAGTTAGAAACAATCAGATTGGTGAATGTTAATAATGCCACTTAGAGATTAAAACAATAGCGAAAGTTTCTGTATTTTGGAATTATTTGCATAAATTATATTCTCAGTCATTACATACATTAAATGCACACAAGGAATTCTGACAAGCTCGGCAATATATAAAAACAAAACTTGGCCTAAACCTGAATATAACACACAAAACTTAAATCCAGCAGAAATGTCAACAGTTACAGAAAATTAAATTATCTTTAGAAAAAATAACTGTATAGGGGTAATTTACTGATAATTTAACAGAAGAACTCCCAGTGGTGAATGGATGAGAGAAACAGGGACTATATGTGAGTTTTTTCATTCATTTTCTGTAACAAACTTGATGGAAATAACTTTTACCAAGTTCTAGTACAATTTTATTACAAAGACATCAGCTCGTGTCACTTTGAGTGAGATAACAAACAATCCAGGCAAAAATTCCAGATCAGCCCAAGTACGTGGCAGTCAGACAACACTCTCATGATCCCTCACAAGGAAATGCAATGGGCAAAACCTGACAGAGAACAAGCAGAGTCAGCTGTGCTCCTCCAACAGCCACTCCTGCTTTTATCACACTGCAACTGTGCTCTTTGGGAAGACAAGATCAGAGACAAAAGCTGAAACACAGGACACGAGTTACTTTTGTAACCAAATAATTCCATAGGTGATCTGCCCCATTTCTGTGTCTTCTGACTTCCTTCCAGGTAAAGCTACAGCTGGTTGAAGGCCCCTTCCACACCCTCTTCCATGAGGTGACAGCCTCTCCAATCTCAATGGCTTGGACAGGTCTTTCTGCTGTTCTTCAACCCCAAAATGACTACTCTGCTTTCACAATATGCCAGGTCCCCAAGGCTCTTAGGGAACAGATGACACTGCAGCAGGGGACATTTCTATCTCCAAGAATTTAACAAATCCTGAGTACTGATTACCAAAGGCTGAAATCCTTTTTAAACATATTTCTATCTAATTTTTTCCACCTTCTTTCAGCACCAGACTGTTCTAGCCATCATGCAAAACAGCACATAGTCACCACTGCAACACATGTGCCTCATTATTTGGGGAAGAACTCTTATCATCTTGTTTACTTTTACAAAAAAAGGTAACATTGTAACATGGTAAGAATCAAATAGCAAGGCCTCTTTCTTTGAGTATCTAAAAACATTTCTAGATTTGACTATGAGAGACAGATCTCAGAAGCTTGTGGATCAAACCTAGAGCACAGAAACTAACAGTACATAAAATGCCAAAGTACTTCAACACAGAGACAGAAAATATCTATAAATTACATACTGACTATGACAAGGTATCATAATTGTAAAAACCAACTTCTAGAAAGATCATCACTAGAAAGTGCTATATTTCATCTGGTTCTAGAAACTACAGGGTATTGCATTTCTTGGAGTTTGATGTGTCATCTCCAAAAAAAATACGTTCCAGTGTCACCAACAGACTTGAGATTTTTGCACATTTGGGTGGAAAAAATGTACTTTACCAAAACTGAGTAGGCCTTGCCTTATTTAACTTGCAAAAAGCAGCTGCACACTGAATTTGTAACCAGTAGTCTGTCACGCAGGGAAGGCTGCAGAGACTTGTAGCTGCTCTCAAAGCCTCACTACAGCCTTGCCAAGGGCCCATGTGAAACCAACAGCATTCAAAGTAAAAAGAAAAGCCAGTATGCTCCAGGGGTATTTAGTAGCTCTGCAGAGCTCTGCTGGATTGTGCTGCTTTATATAAGTTCCTGCTTCTCTTCAGGAGACTCTCAGCTCCCTGTTAGGTTCCTATGATCCATGGTGCTGTCAGCAACCCACCCATTTCATGTGCACTTTATTCAGCCAGGATACTGTCTAGTGAGGAACCTAAATACTAATACTTAAGTTTATACTGTACATAAATACAAGGATAAATATTTTACACAAACATAAAAGAAACTTAATTGCAGGCTCCTAAAAACACACTCCCTAAAAACCTATATATCCATACACTGCATAAACTACATATATACATACAAGACATGTATATATGATAGTGTACTTTTAGCCTTCTAAAAATAAATTATTAAGAGTATATACATACAAATACACATACAACTACAAAATAACCTGCAGAGCCT